ATGAAGAGGAACTACACTACATTACCAAAAGTATTTGCTCATCTGCCTTGTAATATGTTGGCTCACATTTTGCAGCTATAACGGCTTCAGCTCTTTTAAGAAGCTTTTCCACAACACTAAAAATAACTATTTAAATAAACATAAAGAAATAAGGAATCATTAATTCAATAATGATCCACATGATTAAATTGCTTTATTTTATTTATTTATTTTTACTCTTTATTTTGAGTCAACATAAAAGAAGGGTAACAGTTCTCAACCACTGAAGTGGCATTAAGCCCTTTATATAGTGTCCATTTCCACCAGTTCCGTTCGAAGGCATCCAGTTTGATTCGTCATAGAAACTTCAGTTTATCTCCTCCATTATTTCCCTTTCAGCGACTCCTTTTCAGCCAGTTCTTGTGATAACTTTCTTCACAGCCACAGTCATTATTTTAAACATGTAGATGTTCTCTTTTTTAATCGTACCTTCTGGGATCAGACCAAGGTGTAAGACCTGTGGATCCCTGGGAAGTTCACACTGACAAAGTCCGTCTATCAGCTCGGCAACATCTGACCAGCATGGTTGTAGTTTATCACATGACCAAAAGAAGTGTAGGTGATTGGCCTTAATATGACCACATTCTCTCCAACATTGTTTTTTTTTTTTTTGCTTTAACGTGTTTGCTTTTAATATAAACTGTAATAAACGTACGGAATCCATAATCTTTCCGAGTTGGTCGTTGTCCCCTTTGAGGTCGGACCTCAGGTCTTTCAGAAGGTCACTCGGTGTTACGTCAGTCCAGGGTAGCCTTGGAGTTTCAGGTGGGCTAGAGTTAGCTTGCAGTGCTACTTCACTGGCTTTCGATGCTGATTTTCTTTTGATATTTTTGCATGGTTTGTTTGCCTCTTGTGAATCAGTTTCCCCTTTTATACCAATAGCGAATGATGAATCAACTTGTTTACTGGAGTTGAGTCCAACTTAATTTCATTGAGTTGATTCCTGCAAATGACAATTTTCCAACAAAAGAACTTAATGCTAATAGAAAGCAATTTATCAAAGTTGAAATCTGTTTCATGATTATTTTAAGTTCATGGTGTGATTAGAGTTATTCTTTGGATTGTTCAACATCAAGTCCAGAGTCTGGTTAACATAAAACTTTAATGGACTTATAACAACTTTCACATAGCTGCCACTCCATCCATCCTCTTCTGATTATCCTTATCAGGGTTGCAGGGGCGTCTGGAGCCTATCCCAGCTGTCATAGAGGCAGGGTACACCCTGGACAGGTCGCCAGTCTAACACATAGAGACAGACAACTATTCATACACACAGGCAATTTAGAATCACCAATAAACCAAACCCCACTAACAATTTAGTCTTCAGTCTTTGGACTGTGGGAGGCAGCCAGAGTACCCAGAGAAAACTTACACACACACATCATGCAAACTCCACACAGGCTTTTCTGTGTGGACAGTTAGTGGATTTGAACTCAGAAACTTCTTGGTGAAAGGAAAGAGTGCTAACCTTTAAAGAGGTTTGAAATCTCGCATGATCGTGTGACATGACGAGTCCAGACAACTAACCACTCTTTCTGGATTGTATCACATCATCTCAACAAGAATAAATTTAACAAGTGTTAAGTTGTTGAATTTCATGCAGATTGTATATGATTTAATTATGTTCACCACAGAAACATATAATTATTTTGTTCAACTTCCAAGTTAGACTCTTGTAAACATAATAACCACCCAATTTCACTTTTTGAATGAAGGTTTAGTACTGCGTTTATGGGAACATTTGATCGTTCATCAGTGCATTTATGACGACAGGACATTTGTGAAGCATTGCCTCCTATAACAGTACCACACCGGAAGCTCTTGAGAGCACCCACTGTGGCCATGGAAGTGATTGGATGGGTGAGTGGATACGTTTGGTAATACAGTGTATCCACCAGCATGTTTGTACACTCGTGTCTTCAACCCAGCTGCAATGGCCGCGGCGCAACATACCAAAAAACAAGAGATGCACGTCTGACCGATGCACATAGCACCTGTGACACAAGCAATGTGTGGTCATCATGAAAATGGCCCAAGGAAGCAGACACAGGCTTCTCCTGAGTGGTGGTTTCAAATTCAGCAGGTTCAGACTGATTGGTTTAAATCCAGTCTTTAAGTCTGACGTCATTAGCCGTGTCCGGTCCCAAACTCTGCTGCACGTCCATAAGTCAAGCGAACACTGCAACATCACTGAGAGTTGAAAAATGGTCTAAATTCTTTCATCTGTAATAAAATGATCAGCGTTGCTGCTCTACCAGGTGTAACAATTAAGTTTAACATCCAGGCATCCATGAAAACAGGATTTATGACATTTAACAGTTAGAAGTTAGCAGGGAGTTAGCTCGCTAGCTTCCATCTAAATACAATATAGCATGTCCTGACTGAGGGGTTTCTGAAACAAAATAAGACGTACAGCTCTGCTATCACTTCTGACATAAATTAAGACAGAAAACTAAACAGCAGTGATGTTTGTAGGATTACTGAAGTCGGGCTAGCTGATATGTAACGATGTGCTACGTGGTGGCTAGCTACACAGCTACATTAGCATAACATAAACACAGTGAAGCTGGAGGATGAATGCTAATTTTTTACCACTCGATAAAAGTTAACATGAGGGTTCCCGATGGTTAGGGACAAATGCAATCGCATGGCAGGATGCTGTAAACCATAGGTGTCAAACTCTGGCCCGCGGGCCAAATTTGGCCCGCAGCCTATTTACTTTTGGCCCGCGAAGCCATACCAAATTACTATTAGAGCTGGCCTACTGGTATTATACAGCTAATATATATATTGTTTAGTATTAAGCTTTGCTTGTTCCATATTGAGTTTTTCAGCTAAACTTGTTTGAGTCCATAAGAAAAGATTCATTCTTATATCTGGAGGAAGATTTTTTTTTTTCAATAAATATTAATGTTAGCCCGCGACTTTGTTCCATTTTGAATTTTGGCCCACTGTGTATTTGAGTTTGACACCCCTGCTGTAAACGGACTGACTGTTTTTAGGGGCTTGTTGAGATTAAATAGAACAAGATACAAAGCACTAAAACATGTTAAAAACACAACAGCCTTATTAAATGCAGAGTCGTTTGGACCCGGAAGCAGGATTCGTCACGTCATCACTTGTGTACTGGATACACACACACGCAACCCACCTGTGAGAGAACGTGTGTGTTTGTCTGTGTCCATGTTTGTAAACATTGTTACAAATATGAACATGCACCTGTGTGTGTGTTTGTGTCAGAGGGGTGTTTACAAACAATCACAATCAGAAACATCCTGCTTAGAGTTTATAGAGTCACACTGAGCTGACCTCAGATCTGTGTCATTTATTTCAGCACGTCTTTTTTCAGTTTTTGGTACTGTTGCATTTTACACTCACGCTCGACATTTTGGTGATCTTATGCAAGTTCATTCAATAAGTTTAAATTTGAATATTTCAAATATTTTAGCATGTTTTGTGCTAGAGAAAAAATTAAAAGTTTTTCCCAAGACCTTGGATTATTAAAATATTACTAGATTGTTTTCTATATTGTTTTATATCTTGTATGGTTTTCAAACAATGACAGTTTAAGTTTTGAAGAATTTGATTTTTTATGAATCACCCCGTCCACTGCATAATCGCCTGCTGTTGAGGTTGACAATCTAAAAAATGACTTTTCCACACTCAAACTTTCTGCCTGCGAGTTTAATTTGAACTCACTTAGTCAGACTGCTTAATTGACATAGAAACACAGAGTCATACACTCTCACAACACTGTGTCACTGCCATGTGTGTCTGTATCTATACTTGTAAATGGTTTTAGGTGGGGATGTGCACGTGTGTGTGTGTGTGTGAGGGGCAGGGGGTTTTACAAAGTGCCACCAATCAGAGGCATGTTTTTGGTTTTATTTAGCACATTTTCAGTTTTTGGGACTCCTTCAAATAAAATACATTAACTCTGCTTTGACTATAACGTGATGAGTTAAGAGTGTAAAAAACCTCAGATAATCATTATGTGAAGGCAAACGTTAGAACAGAGTCTCAGACTTAAATGAGCTGTGGCCATTGCTGGCACTGTCATCTCATTGGAGGGCCGCAGTTTTTTTGTGCTACTTGAACATTAAACAAACAAGAAAACAACCACAAATATTTCTGGAAACGTGGTGTTTTTGTTCTTTTAAAATTAAAAATATTGTATAAAAAGACAAAACTGCAAACGTGAAGGCAGTTTCCCCCTCACTCTTTACTAATCGAAGCCTTTCATTGAAGCAAATAAACACATTGGTCCTCTCTGCCTGTCCACACACGTGGCAGCACTTCTATCATTTTGCTCGTATTTAACAAAATAAAATTGCAGACATAAGTGTCCACATGAGTGTTTGCCTGTCACTGAACTAACATATTCGGTCATTTGGAGAATTTGTTTTAACATTGCACTCAACAAACAAATCCTCCCTAACAAACGTCACTTCAAGGGCCAAATTGCATTACATTCCATCACATCAATACACGGGCTGCACGTAGGGGTGACGTGGGCTGCATGTGGGCCCCAGGCCACGAGTTTGAGACCCTTGTATTAGAACAATTGAGGAACTTCCCAAGAACATTATAGAGAATTCTGAGTCTGACAGACTTTATTCCATCCATTGTTGCTTCAAACGTCCCCCCCCCAACAACAAAAATGGGAGGAGCTTCTCAGTGAAAGTGTGTCTGTGGGTGTAGACCTTTGTGTCGTTTTCAGAGTCATAGAAGGGTACAGGGTCTCTGGTACAGACAGTCATACTGTATGAGTCCTTTAAAATGTGAAACAAACTCCAAAGCTCTACGAGGTTCACTCAGTTTATACGGATGACGAGCTTCAAGAGAATCCTAAAGTTTCATGTAACTTCTTCTATTTCACATTTATTGAAACGAATGTTCCCCTGAGAACAGTCAAAGCATCTTTCTCTCCATCTGTGTTTCAAAGAGGTCTACATCGCGTTCTTGAACCGCACATTTTATTAGCAAAAGTATCCACTCACAATTACATTGGCAACAAAGTATGAAAAAATATAAACACGTCTGAAAACATCTCTGAATTACACTGAGAACACAAACATTTTACTCATGATCACAGAGAGCAGAGCGAATGCTGGAGATGTAACATTGTTCCTTAAAACCTTTAAAACTTTCAGCATATCTACAACATCACCAACAACAGAAAGATGTTCATAAAAGTCATATTCACATAAAAAAAAAATTAATATTAAATAAAACGTCCTGTTAGTCTGCTGGATAATAAGCTTTGACTTTAAAGGAGAAAAAAAAAATCCCACAAATGAAAACAGTCCAGTAGCAACATGACAAAACTTGTTCCAGGCAGACCTGTGTATATGAACTGTCCTCTGACGCAGTCACCAGGCAGTTTGGGGGTTTGCTTTATAGAGACTGTAGTCTGCTTTCCTGAAGAAGGCCACTTCTGTCTCATGAGCTAAAGAGGACAAACATGTCAAAGTTAAAACACACCTCAGATTTTTAAACAGGTATGTTCAGAAAGTCTTCCATTTTTATGAAGTTTGAAGTGGATCACAGTCAATCACAGCTCTCCTTCATATAAGTCAGAAGACAGTTATTTTTATTCATTTTTTTTTAATGGACAGTTGAGGTGGGATCTGAGATGTGTCTTGACTGAACTGTTACTAAATTCATAAACTGCCCGTCCCACAGCTGGTCGTGTATGTTCGAGAGAAGAACAACAAAATGTTTAAAGATTTGCCTGCTGAGTGTAACATACCCAAACTGGATTAAGGCATAAATCTACTGACAGATTAAAAAACAAGTCTAAACAATGCATCGCAGTCAAAATGATGAAGCTAGGTAAGCAGAAACCTGAGAGTCACTGTCCAGTTCCTTTATAGAGATGGAAGAACCTCACTGAAGGACAACTTTTGCCATTCAATTCTATTTATATCTTTATATTTATTTATTGAAATCATTTGTTTATTATAAGGTAAAGACGTTACAATGATACACAGACAACTGAGCAAACCCCAAAAATCAGATGGCCTCCAATCAGATTGTTCAGACATGTTTTATTCATTTACAAAGGAAACTAAAATCCACTCAGTTTTGGTTGTTATGAAGAACTATGTTTAGACTGCTCTGGAAACAGTAAACTGAACAACGATGAAATCACTGAATGCGCATCACGGGCCTTTCTCACTACATTATATTCAAACCACATGTTATTATTGTATCACTACTTCTATTTGAAATTCAATTTGAACAGGGTGAATTTTGGGGCATTGTGCAAATAGACTGAAAGGTTTGGGTTTAGAAACAATGAACTCGAGCAAAAGGCAACAGTGAATATAATCACAGGCACAAATGTAAAAAGAGATGTTTTGAGTCGCCCCTTATTTCTTTGTATTTTCTAGGAAAATGGGAAATAAGAACAGGGCAAAAACAGCTTGTACAATTCTAACGTCACTGGGGTCAACACAGCTCACAGCTGACTGTTAGCTGGGATGTTACTCAAAGTTACATTGGTCGGCTGGTGATGGTGGCTGTGCTGATGCGAATCAGGCTCATTTTGACAAATTAGATTTATGATTGAAAATAATCTCTCCGTCTCTCAGACAGACATTGTTACTGATTTTGTTGCCTGTTATAATCAGGCTCTGGCTGCTGTGCTGAGGACAACACAAGTTTAGCTTTCGTGTCACTGTGTTCTTTGCTAGCTTCATGTTAGCATGTTTGTTTTGGACAGGCTTGTAAAGCGTTGATGTGTCAGCAGCATAGCGCATGAATTGAAAACAGTAAGTTGTTACATTACCACATTCATGAAAAAATGTAAAGTGAATACAGTAATGTGTTACTTTGGACCAAATTATAACCAACACTGCTCTACAGCAAACACTCAGCAATGCAAATCTTACCAACACCAGCAGCTCTGAGGGTTTGGCCTTCATGTAGAACCAGAGTTTCATCATCATCTAAACTCATCACTAACTCGTTTGTCTGAAAACAAAGGAAAAAAGATAAAAATTGCAAGTTTGAAATGCAAACTATTTCTGAAATAAGATGATATAATAACTGAAATAATATTTCTGGAATGTACGGCTAAAATTACTGAGTTGATTCTGAGATCAATCCCAAATTCTGAAAGTGGATTAAAGGGAATTAAATGATTTAGTTGTTGAAATACCAGCTGAGTGAACAGATTTTGATTTCCTTTATTTTCTCTCACAGGGATCATGCCATTACAAAAGAGGGAAGTTATATTAAAGTGGAAGACAAAATAGTCAGGTCCCTTTGAAAATGTCATTTTTTAAAGTACTCCTTAAGGGCAGACCACAACACTCGTGTGTCCTACAAGCGGACACTCCACAGCCTTCACACAGATACCTTTGCTCCATGAGCCTGATGGATAATCTTCATCGTGTCTGTAAGGGGAAAAAGGATGGAGTCAGATTCAGAGCATAAACTTCACACCAACAAAGTTTACATAGACCTTTGGTCAAAACTTTACAGATATCATGAAGGTTGTTTTCAGTTGTTAATGGTTTTTCTTCCCCCACTGTGGAATGACTGTACAGCAGACATCTTTAATGACCAACAAACAAGAACTGGGTGCAAAAGTGTGAATTTATTTTTACATTGTCTCTAATCCACACAGGCTCGATACACAACAGTGCTGTCACTCGACTTGCAGTGACCATCAAAACGATGAAAAAAAAAATTGCTGTAAACGGTTTATTTTGCGACACCACGAAACAAACGATAGCGTAAAATGAAACAGACGTTTTTATATCGTCATCCGATATATGTCGTTGTATCGAACAGTCCTAGTATAAACCTCTGACCACAACTGTATATAATGATCCCATGTGCATTTTCTTTTATAACCAAATGTTCATAAAGTGATTACATTTATTTATACAAATACAATTTGATTCTGACTTTAAGAGCTCTGTTAGCGGGCCCTTAAGAGCATCGCCTCACTCTATGTACATTTCTTTAAAAGTCCCGTTCAGCATGGATTTTTTTGTCTGTTTGTTTTTTTGTTTTTTGCCCTACATCGCCGTCCTTCTTCCCCGCTGTTTTTCTTTCCACAGTCAAGTCTGTCCCGTGTGTAGCAAGTGAAAATAAAATAAACAATAAAAGGTGAATCAAATAGGCTGGAGCGGTCCATTTAGTAAAGTAAATCCGTTGGGCATCTTTCTTTGCCTTTAGACAATAATTCTGATGGCAAAAGAACCAAACAGGACAGGCTGGGGGAAAAAAAAAAAAAAAGGTCCCGTTCAGCCCTGAGATCCAGCAGGAGCAAGAAGCACTCTGTGTGTGCAGCTTTTACACTGGGCAATCTTTACCTTTAAGGGACCAGTATTATATTTTGTATATATTCGTTTTGTTGTCTTAATCGATCAGATAAGCACTTTATTAAGAAGGGAAAAGTCGTTAGAGAGCAAAAAGGATTGCACAACACAATTTTATAATGCAATAATTAGCTTTAGTCATGTTTCCTGTCCTTCACAACTCTTGTGAGAGCTGTGTTCACTAGTGATGTGTGACTCCACTGATTTCCTTTCTGATCTGATACCAAGTAGAATTCAGGGCGGTATCGACGATACTGATCAGATACCCTGTACAAAAACTTAATTTTTCATTGCATTTCATAATCCAATAATTAATTGTATTATGTAACTGTAATAATAATATAATAATATTGCTTCATAATGATTACAGGACATCAGATTACTTGTTCTTATCACTTAATAATGCAGAGTTCATCATATAGAAATAAAAAACTGAAGTTGTGGCTATTTGAACACGTTGACTGCCTGCAGCACTGAAGGACTCCGTGAGAGACGTCTGTCTCGCCCTAGCAGCACCTGTCCCTGTCCTCCTCTTCAGTTCGCCTCAACATACGCTCGTCATATTCTGTGATATGATTTACTCTGAGGTGCTTGACGAGGTCAGTGCTGTTGCCACAACATCTCACTTTCTTGCCACATGTATCGCAAACCGTGTCGTGGCCGTTTGTGGAGGTAAAATACGTCCACACATGACTCCGTTTCACTCAGCCATTGTTGTGAGTGCGCACGCCGGCGGCTGCAACACATTTATTTCACACATGACAATGAAAGGCGGAAGAGGAAGTAGTTCCTTCCAATGTAGACAATCCGAATGTTATAGTTTCTTTCCACTGTGTTCCTGTTAATGATAAACTACTAATTTACCCCAAAGTACTAAAATATCGATATTTTAATGTGAGAATCGATTCTAGAACATAAATTACTGGTATCAGAAGAATCGATATTTCAATATCGATCTGCACATCACCAGTGTTCACACTCCAAGTCGAACTCTCTCCCATGAAGTTCTGGACTCCACCAGGCTGCCATCTGTCATATTATTTATGGACAGAAAATCCAGGTGCAGCCAGTAGGCTAGCAGCTGAGTGGGAAACGAGTCTGAGGGCATGGTTCTCAGTCAGAAGGACCCACGCTGGATTTGGAGCAAATTTAAGTATCGGACTGTCTTGCTTGCAAGTAAGAGAAAAGTGAATCACTAGAGTAACGGATTGGTGCAGCGCCTGCTGTAGCTACACCCACCTATGGTCACGGGCTGTGTGGAAATACCAGCCACCCTTTGGGGGAAGGTTGTCTTAGAAATTTGGTGAGTAGCTCAGTCACTGGGGAGAGGGTCAGAATAGAGCCGCTACTCCTCTACACTGAAAACAGCCAGCTGAGGTGGTGTGAGACACCTAGGAGAGGAGTTCGTAATCTAACTTTGCCCCGTGTTTCACTATGGGAATCGCCTTGGTATGACCAACTACGGAAGCTCCAATGACACCACGTTTGAGCTGTGCTCAGGGCTCCGCCCCCTTATTCTAACACCACCGACCAGCCTCTCCTAACTCGGGATGGCAACATCCTGGGCTTTGCTCAGAGGTGCATCAGTCCAGTTCGTGCGGTTTTATAGGCTGGATGTTGCACAGTCATCCCTGGGTCAGTCAGTCCTGGAATCTAGCGCCTCAGGTCCACCCTGAGATCCTGGAGTAGTGCTGGAGCATAGCTTTGGGCACAATCCGGTAGTGGGCCATATCTCCCGTGGTGAAACAGAGCAAAGTTAGAAAAAGAATGATGGGTCACTTCATGGATCTCTGATAACAGAGTGAGATGTTTCACCAACACTTCCGTCCTTGTTTGGGTGCGGAAAGAAAGAGTGATTACATTTCTGTTCTGGTGTTCGTGTGTTTATTTAAATCATTTTGTATCAAGTAAACACATCACTACTGATGTTTAGCTTTAACTCCAGGTAACTATGTGAGTTCTATGTAACAACAACAACAGCAATCTAAACATGACATGTGGGTAGGATGAGAACATTGCTCTAATGACAGCTGTAAAAAATTATGAAGACAAATGAAGTAATGCATACATACCATAACCATATTTCCTGAAAGGAGGTGGAAATCCTGGCCTTGTTGCAATATCTGAAAGAAATTGTTGGATTCAATCAAGATTTTATCTTCTTATTCATGTGTGAAAACACACAAGGTCGAGAATCCTAAAAGACTCGTCTAATAAAGACCCCCCATCTGTCCCACTGGGGTTTTTCACAGCTGTTTTTGTGTCTATGTGGGACACACACAGGGTGGAGCAACAGTTTGCTAAACACAATCACAGACTTTAGAGGGGAAAGCGCAGACCTCGGCCTCTGTGTGAGGATCTAAACGTATTCTACGCTCGATTCGACACAGCGAACACCACGAGACCGACCGCCTCACCCTCCTGCTCTCCCCAGCCTTCACTCCCCTCAGACGCAGTGCCAGGTCCACCACAAAGACCGTTACAACCTGGCCTGAAAATGCTCTCTCCAAACTACAGGCCTGCTTCACACAGACTGGGACAGGTTTGAACACCAGGAGCTAGAAACAGTCACAGGATCAGTACTGGACTACATCAAGTTCTGTATCAGAAATGTGACTGTGGACAAAAGCATTCGGGTTTTCCCAAACCAAAAACCAGCCAAGTCTGTGAAGCCATCTTCAAGTCAGGTGACAGAGCTCTGTACACGGCTGCTTGAGCCGATCTGAAAAGGGAAACTAAAAAAGCCAAAACAGACCACAAAGGAGCACAGAGTCCCACCTGTCCAGCGCCAACACACAGGAGGTGTGGGAGGGCATACGAGACAAACTACAGAGGCTGTGAAAACAGAAAGCCTGAGTGTGCCGCTGGCAGACGAGATAAATCATTTCTTTGCCCAGAAACATCTCAACAGCAGCACTCATCTGCTCCAGCCCTGCTCCCATCCTCACCTGGTTCCTGCACTGCTCCACTCACCCTAACTGAGGATATTCCTAGCAGTGAACCCCAGGAAGGCTGCTGGTCCAGACAGAGTACCTGGCAAGATGCTGAGAGCATGTACCCACCAGCTCACCCTCATCTTCAGCCTCTCACTGGATCATGCAGCCACCCCATCCTGTCTAAAATCAGCCACAATCATCCCAGTGCCAAAGAAGTCTCCCATCACCAGCCTGAACGATGACCGCCCTGTGGCCCTCACGCCGTACTCATGAAATGCTTCGAGATACTAATGCTTCAGCACATCAAGGACCACCTTTATGTTCTAGACCAAAGACCCACAGACTCAAGAACAGTTTCTTTCCAAGAGCCTGAACTCACACAAGGACTCCCCCCACACAGACTGCAAACTACGATCACGACTGTGCAATATTTAATTTATGCGCAATAACCCACACTGTAAATACATAACACCATTTATTTTTGCCCTATATCTGTATATTTTATATTTTTCTTTTCCCACACGTTTGCACTGCAGCTCTGAATCTCACTGTACATGTGTATAGTGACAATAAAAGGCATTCTATTCGACTCTACTCTGTTCTATTCTAAACATGACATCACTGGTTTTGTTTGTTGCAGTCAACAGACTCACATTAGTTTATGTTAGTTAACCACAGAGTACCGAGAACTCAGCAAAATAAGAACACAAACTAAAACCAGTCTAAGGGCGTTGCTTCTGTGCTGCCTCTGACTGTAGCAACCACTCTTAGGTTAATAATATAAACTGCCCACTTTCACTCAGTCTACTACGTAGTAGGCGAGTCTTCGTTTTTCGGCCCTGAAACAGGAAAATGTGCCTGTTAGCTGTGATGTTGGGGTTTGTGCCGCCTGTCACGCTCTGTACTGCCGCAAGAGGGCGCCAAACATGTGCTTAAAACATTAAGGACTTGTTTCTTATATCCACCTACACAGAGAGCAGGGCTCATTGTTGTAAATTAACCTTTATATATGAAGTGTTTCATATCCAGTTAAAACCAAAGAACTCTAAGTTTTGAAGCTCTCCCGTCCAGCTGCAGTGAATCCTGGGATTTCTGCCTGCGCAGTGTTTTTAAAGGTTTGTTTCGGTGAACAGATGCTGACACGGGGTACACACGCACGGCTCTCACCGTCTTTGACGAGCTGCATGAAGTCCTGTACGGTCTGCTCCAAGCGGACGCCGTGAAACACAACCGGCTTGAAGTTCCTGTGTTCGAAGGACCTCACCAGGCGGACGGTGACCACAGCTTCAGCAGTCATGCTGCTCTGAACCCGAACACTCGTCTGGTAACGCGTAGCTGTCCTTCTTCCCCTAAGTTTTATTGGCGATTGGCAAACAATAAAATGGTGCATTACCGCCACCAACTGGTGTGGAGTGTGTACTGCAACGTCGCTCACAAATCCTCCAAAACAATTTACCCTGTTTTAAAGCCTGATAACTTTCACTTCTTGGGTTCTTTTGCAGTTACTCAATAAGATCCAGTTTCATTTGTAGGTTTCTGAGGTTTTGGATCAGTTGCCTTCTCTCTACCTCCCCTGTATTGGCCATTCATCCACACACTGGTGAGGGCAGCTACATGTAGCCACAGCCACCTTGGGGCGCATTGACAGAGGCGAGGCTGCCGGACACTGGCGCCACCGGGCCCTCTGACCGCCACCAGTAGGCAACGGGTGAAGTGTCTTGCCCAAGGACACAACGACCGAGACTGTTGGAGCCGGGGCTCGAACTGGCAACCTTCCAATTACAAGACAAACTGCCAACTCTTGAGCCACGATCACCCACATGTTCTGTTTCCTCTTCTCCACAGTAGTCACGTTTATCTGTATTATGTTTACCTGCCATGAATAAAGTCGTGTTCAAACCAGTCTGCCCAAAACTTTTCTTCATTTTTCGCCTTATGATACTCTTTATCTTTGTCTGACAGAAGTTAATAGCCAGGTCAACTAACACATTTTTGTGGCTTCCTTTGCAGCTCTGTCTGTCATTTCATGTGCTCTGACTCCAAAATAAGCTGGAATCCATAAAAAGCCAACTTTTAAGTCCCATCATGTTTATTCTGTAACATGTTTGCTGAACCTCTGTTGCTGTCCTTCTTCTTCTTGTTAAGTTTTAATGGCAGATAGCAAACATACCACAAACTGGTATGGACTGTGGACGGATATGAAGGTTAAAACAAACAAACAAAACCCTCAAATCCTGTCAAACACTATAGTCCATCTTTAAAAATGTGTCCGTCAGCGGGGGAGCTGGCCCCA